GGGAGGGCAGCACTAGGCCGGGAGGGGCCAGCGCAGGCCACTGGGCCCCAGGAGCTCGGGTGGGGCCCCGCCCAGCCTGCACCCCAGGGAGGGCCTGTGGCACACTCGGGCTCCCCGCCTCTGGCTCCCCCGCGCACAGGCGCCCCGACCCCTGCTGGGGCGCAGTGAGGGGGAAGCCGCCCCGGGCTCCGGTCTGCCCCTTCCCCGAAGGCGAGGCTGGGGCTAGTGTTGCTGCCGGACTGGTCATCACCGGCCTCATACTGCACAGCCCACCCCTGCCCCGGAAGCCAGGGCCGCACCCCAGGTGACCCCAGGCCGGCAGGGAGCCCCTCACAAGAGCCCCCGAGGATCTCTCCGGCCGCTGGCGGGCCGCTGTGTCCGGCAGCCGCTCCCGGGCAGGTGCCACGTGCTGCGGCAGGCAGCCAACAGCCGCCCAGTTGGTGGGCTCGTGAGCCCCGTCCCTGCCCAGGGGCGCGGCCAGACTGGCAGCCCTCCGCACCTCTGCCCTGCAAGTGCCCGCCTGGGCTCCCGGCCTCGCACACAGTCACTGGTCAGTCACCAGCTGCGGGTCAGTGTTTATTCTCCCTGCGGGGCACCAGACTGGGTCCCACAGGTGGGGAGGAAGGTGGGGATGGGGTTGAGGCCGAGGCGGGGGGCCCCAGGGAGGTGGGGGGATGCAGGGGTCCGTGCGCATCCCCCCGCACCCTGCGGGCTCAGGAGCCCGGGACAGTTACAGCAGGCTGCCTGGCGTGGCGAGGCTCCGGGAGCGCAGCGAGCCAGGCACCTCCACCAGCTGCCAGCCGGCGGAGGTCCGACCCAGCTGCGGCCCCCGCCATGGGCCACCCAGCTTCCCGAGCAGGCGCCCGTGGCTCCCGTCTGCCCCAGGCCCCGGGGCCCCACGGCTGGTGGGATTGGGCTGGGCTGTGGGCGGCCGAGGCCGGAGCCCCCAGACCTTCTGGGGGCCTCCTGCCCTGGAGTCGGGTCAGGGGAGCGGCTGGATCAGGTGGCCACGGCCCAGTGCCCTGGGAGGCACCCGGGGGCCTGAGGGACGGGAGGGGCTGGCCGGACTCCAGGCCGGCTACTTCCCGCTCATCTCCCTGGCCCGGCAGGTAGCCGCCTCCACGGCGCTCATGGTGGCCGCCCGCAGGCCGCCCCGCTCCAGGGCGTGCAGCCCGTGGATGGTGGTGCCGCCGGGGGTGCACACGTCCGTGCGCAGCTGGGCCGGGTGCTGTCCACTCTGCAGCAGCATCTTGGCGGTGCCCTGAGGGGATGTGGGGCAGTGACCGTGCGGCTTAGCCAGGTGTCCAGGGCCCGCTGACCTCCCTCCGCCACCCCACCCCTTACCAGCAGTGTCTGGGCAGCGATGCGGTGGGCCAGGCCGCTGGGCATGCCCATCTTGACGGCTCCCTCGGCCAGGGCCTCCGAGAAGGCGCACACCTGTGTGGAGCAGTGTCAGGGCCCAGGCTGCCCCCTGCGCAGCGCTGGCCTGGGGGCAGCCCAGGAGCAGAAGCGGGCGCAGGGACGCAGGGCAAGGCCAGGGCGGCCTGGACATGCGGGCGGGAGCAGGGTGGCTACGCGCCGGGACCAGACAGCACTCACGAAGGCCACGCCGCTGCCACTGAGGCCAGTGTGGATGTCCACCTGGGCCTCGGCCACCTCTTCGCACTGCCCACAAGCCTCCAGCAGGGTCCGCAGAAGCTCGGCCTCGCTGCTCCCCACGTGGCGGCCCCGCACCATCACCATGGCCCCCGCCTGCACCATGCAGGGCAGGTTGGGCGAGACCCGAAGCACCCGTGTGGCGGGGGGCAGCAGCTGGCAGGGGAGAGGCCGGGGTCAGGGGCCCGTGGGCAGCCGGGAGCTGGTTCCAGCTAGCCGCAGGCACCCGGCCCTGCTTCCCCGG